AGCATGGCAACAGTAGTGAGGTTGGCCCAGGATCAGGCAGTGTTTCGTTCTGCTGTGCATAAGGTCACTATGAGTTGGTAATGACTTGATGGCACATAACAACAACTCCTTACTTCTAGTGACTGTAACAGCCTCCATCAGATCTCCTGCTCCTATCTTTCTCCATACCACCCCATGCATTAACACATCACCAAATATCTTTCCTCAAAATAGTAAGTTCAGAGGTAGCCTCCTGTTCACAATGTTAAAGGCATACTCTTTAACCTACCACTTAGGCTCTCCATGTTGTTTTTGTTAGGTGCCATCGAGTTGGTACTGACCCATAGCGACCTTATGCACAGCAGAACGAAACACTGCCCGATCCTGGGCCAACCTCACTACTGTTGCCACGTTTAAGTCCATCAATGCTGCCAATTGGCCGATTCATCTCATTAGGGGTCTTCCTCTTTTTTTCTGATCCTCCACCTTACCAAACACGATATCCTTCTCCAGCAACTGCTCCCTCATGACAATATGTCCGAAGTATGAGAGAAGATACATGCCCTCAATTACTCTTACGTTCTCATTTGCCCCCCTCTCATCATGGGCCCTCTCTTCCAGTCAATCTTTCCCTAAACAAATAGCACCCTATACGTCTATGTATTTTGTTCTTGCTGGTGTGGCACTGTAGGATTCACACTGGATTACAAACCACAAAATTGGCAGTTCAAACCCACCAGCTGCTCCTTCAAAACCTTATACAGAATCACTATGAGGTGGGACCAACTCCACGGCACCCAACAACATAGCCCTAATTCAGAATACACCCCTCTATCTAACCAAAATTCCACCTGTTTTTCAAGGTGTATTTAAGACCCACCTCTTTCATGAAGCCTGTACCAATTGGTCCACACTTCTTCCCATCTCTCTCTGACCGATGGCACTGAGGTAACCTTGACAACTTAACTGACATGTTGATTTACTTGTCATGCTCACTTATTCACTTATATCAACATGCTTTTACTGAGAGCCTAACAGTTGCAGGCCCATTGTGAGTGGCTCAAATATTTTTCTTAGCTACCTTTTTCTTTGTCTTCTACCACTAGATGTAAGCTAATGAAGACAGAGATCTAGCTGCTTTCTCTTGTGCGTTTAGATTTTAAAAATATGAACCAAAGCATTTGACAAAATCTAACATCTTTTTATGACAAAAATGCTAAAAAATCTAGGAATCGATGGGAACTTCCTCAGTCTGAAAAAGGTCATGTAAGAAAACCCCACAGCTAACTAACTGCACATTTAATGGTGAAAGATTAGATGCTGTCCCTCTAAAATCATGAACAAGACAAGAATAGCCATTCTCACTATTCCTATTCAGGATGTTTGTGGCAACATTGATCATAGATCTGAAAAATGAGAAGCGACCTAAATGCTCATCAGTAGGAGACTGAATAAACCAATTACCTATATTCATACCTTGGAAATACTAACCAAGGTAAAAAAAACCGTTAAGATAGATTTATAGGTACTGGTTGGCATAGATGTAGCTTCAAGACACACTATTAAGTGGAAAAAAAATCAAATTGTAGAAAAATATGTATAATACGATGATAGTATAAAGATATATTTATACATACCACACAGTCAAATCCTATGTATTTCTATATAGATAGTAAATGTATATAGAAATGTTGTTGTTGTTGGTAGGTACTGTTGAGTTGGTTCCAACTCATAGCGACCCTGTATAGGGTTTCCGAGGAGCACCTGGTGAGTTTGAATTGCTGACCCTGTGGTTCTCAGTCCAGTGATGATCCTACAGTGCCATATGTAAACGTATCTAGTAATATTATGCATATCATTTACATATAAACATATATATACCATACAATCAAATCCTATGTATTACATTGAATACATATATGACTATAAATGTATGATAGACAAGATAACCATAGACATGAGGCTGGGATTAAAGGTGGCAGTCACAGGACTGTAGCTCTTTTATTGGTTTATTTTATACCAGCAATATAGCCACATAATTATCATATAATTAAAATTCATAAAAATTTAAAAATTAAATTCTAGACACAAAAAATAATAAATAATAATAAATGAAGATGAGGCAGTAAGAGTAAATGACATTCCTACAGGAAATTCAAAGTGCCTTCCTATATATAAATGGTCTCAATTAGCCATTTAATCTTCAAAGCAGCTCTTTTAAAGAGAAGGTGATAATATACTGATGGAGGGATGATGAAAAGATTAGTTAAAATGGGTAACAGATCCTCAGAAGTGGGTCAAGAAGAAAAGATGAAAGTTCAGACTTTTAGAGGTGGGATACAACTTCAAGATTGTCTTATCCAGACTCCCTCCTTTTTCAGGGAGAGGAAGTGGCAAGCAGAACGAAAGTGACTTGCCCAAAGTCAAAGGGTCAGCTAGTGACAGAGAAGGACAGGAGTCCTGATGCCCCAATTCCTGTTCCTGCTCTATCCGACTGCCAGGGAAACATGTAACTTGGCATGAGGCTGTTCAGCTGTGTTCACTTGCTGGCTTCCACCTTGTCTCATGGTTCTCAGACAGCTACTAACTGGGATCTCTACTTCTCCTGTCTCTGTTCTTTATTTACTACTCTGTTCCTCAGAATACCCCTCCCTTTGACTTCTCAGTCTTTCTCTGCCCCCCTAGTCCTTGCTCTCCAGTGATCTTACCTTGTGCCATGGTGGCTGCCTCTGGCTCCAGGTCTGTTCCCCACAGAATGACTGAGCAGAGTGGAGCTTCAAGAAACTGGTCCTGGAGTGTCTATTTACCCTGCCATCCTGTAGACTCCCAAGAGACACTGGAGGTGGAACCCGGTTGTTTTCTACCTGCTTATTGGGCAGATCACAACTGGTTTACTCACTTGCCCTCAGGTTTTTCTTGGCGGCATTGCTTGGTCGAGAGGAGGTGTGGAGTCCAATGAACTCTCAGGGCCCAGTGCCATGTGGGCCTTTGATAGCTCTTGGGCAATGGGGTATTTCCTGGCAGGTGTTATGTAATAATGGTGAGCCAAGTGGAAGAGCCAGATAGGAGAGACAAGATGATGGAGAGGTCTGCATCCCTGCAAGAAGGGGAACTTAGGCCCCCAGGCTACAACTTACAACCTAGAGAGCCTGAGCCCTCTCTTTTATCCTAGAGTCACTTTCTGGACATTAAATGCAAACAAAGCCCTTCTGGTTCATCTTTGACATAGTTTATTTAATTTTTTGACAGGTGCCTTGTCTTGAATAGGACCTGCCAGATCCAAGGTGAATCTCAACTGAAAGCAGTAGAGAAAGAAAACTTGGGGAAGATTCACAGAAGAGTGTTTGAACATAAGTGAAAGGGAGGACGTGCCAGTCAGCAAGGACCTTGATATCTGTCTACAGGTCACTCCAAGGACCTAAGGAAAAGAAGTTCTTGGAGTGACCTGTAAACAGATACGCACAGATAGAAGAGCAGAGAGAGAGGAATGTGAAAGGGTTCTAGGAGGGAAGTGAGTGAGGCACTGTCAAGTAAGCAACCTGCACCCACTCCCACCCACACCTTATCTTTCCCTCCTGTGGCACTCTTCTCCCTACATCCCTCAACTTTCTGGGTCTCTTGCCTCTCCTGGAACCTCATTCACCAGCATTCCTCCTCCCACCTGTATTTTCAACTCTTTCTCTCGAATCAACTATTAAATGTATATAACCAATTACCACTGGTTGCTATCACGTTGATTATGACTCATGGCAACCCCATGTGTGTCAGAGTAGAATTTTTGCTCCATCGAATTTTCAATGGCTGATTTTTCATAATAGATTGCCAGGTCATTCATCTGAAGAGCCTCTGCATGAACTCCAACTTCTTAACTTCCAGTTAGCAGCTGAGTGCCTTCACCATTTCCACTACACTAAGACTCCAGTGTATATGACACATATAAACAATTCACTGTCTTAACACACCGACACCCACATCAATGCTCTCTCAACCTGTGTCCTCTTCTAACTCCTGACCTTTCTCTCATCCACTTAGCCACGCCCCTACTCCACTGCTTTGTCTCCCACCCATTCCTCACCCCACTGCAATTGGGCTTCTGTCCCTGAAGCCACTCTCACCTACTCCTTCCAGCCGCCAGGCATCAGGCACTGTCTTTGCTCTTATCTTGCTGGGCTTCTGCTACACTGACCTACTTCTTCTGAGAAATGTTCTCCTCTTGGGCTAAAGTGACCTCTCTCGCTATCTATTGTCCTTCTACCTCCCCATCCACTCTGCCTTCATGTTATTGCTTCCCAGGGATTCATGCTGGGACCTACTCACTCTACATTCTTCCTTTCTGACTTCACTTTCCACATAACACCGGTGACTCCACTGAACTGTGGAATTCCCAAAGCTTCCTCTGCACTTGTTCGAGGATATAGGCACCACCTGCTGGACAGTTTCATTGTGTGGACATTGTAAACCCAACATGCTGGATTAGAACTCTTCTTCCCTTCTAAGGCCTCTCCTCTAGAAAACAAAACCCTGCCCTGCCCTTCTTTCGTCAGTGTTGGTCTTGGCGCCCACACAGCAATCCAGGAGAAATCTGGGTGTCACCTCATACTTCTCCATCTTTCTGACCTCCTTTTAACCATCAGCCACCCAGTACTGTGCAGTCTGACTCCTGACTTGTTCTTTAAATATGGCCTCTTTGGTAGCATAGTCAGGTTGCCAATCTAAAGGTCAGCAGTTCGAAACTACCAGCGGTTCCATGGAAGAAAGATGAGGCTTTCTGCACCCATAAAGATTTACAGCCTCGGAAACCCTGTGCAGGTTCACTATGAGTCGGAACCGACTCCATGGTACTTAACAACTTCTCCTTGCTGTTTAGCTCTGCCTTTCTTGAAGACCTTGCCTTGATGGACAACAACTCTTAGCCAGTATTCTAATCATTCTTTCACCAAACAGGTCCCTAGAGTGTCTTTTCAGAAGTGCCAATCTGAAGAGCCATGTTGCTCTCCTGCTTTAGATTCAATAGTGAATTTTAAGACTCAAGAGCCCTTAAAGTTCTGTTTCTCCCCACTTCATCTGGAGCTCCAGGTTCTCTGATGACACTCCAAGTTCTCGGTTAGATGACACTCCGGTTTTTCTGAAAGATGACACTCCAGGTTCTCGATGAATGGCATCCCAGTTTCTCTGATGGCACTAGGTTTTCTGATGAAGCTCCAGGTTCTCTGATGGCGGTATTCAAGCTTTCTGACAAAACTCCAAGTTCTCAGATTGAACTCCAGGTTCCCTAAGAACTCTAGTTTCTTGCATAGAACTCCAGGTTCCCTGATGGAACTCTAAATTCTCTGCTCTTCACACCTCTGTGTTCTAGGCATATTGGTCTGTCTCCTTCTGAAATGGTCTCTACCTTTACAATTGTGACAGTTGCAATTAGTCATTATAACAATTACTCAGTATTGAATCATAAGAATTTTATCCCCATATCTTTTTACCAGACCCATCTAGACAAGATAAAAACTATTCATTGGGGACTCTATCTTCCCTCACACATTCTTAAACTCCCTCTTGAAACCTTGTAAGCTGGTCACTTCATGTCTTTATCACCCACTCATTTTAGGTAGCCAATGTCTAAGTTGACCATCCCTGTCTGTGTACATGGATATGAAGTTTCCTTCCCTTTCTGTTGGTATTTAGAGCTACTACCTCCATGAATATGGAGTCCTGGTGTGGCGCTGTGGCTAATGCGTCAGACTGCAAAGTCATTTGAATTGCAAGGTTGGTGGTTCAAGTTCACCAGCAGCTCCTTGGAAACCCTATGGGTCGGAATCAACTCGATGGCACTTAACAACAACAACCTCCATGAAATTGAAGCAATTTACCCTCGTTTCCTTTATCAAAAAAAAATTTTTTTTTTGATCTTCCTGTAGTCAAGTTTTGACTATTAAGCCATGGAGGCTAGGTCAAAAGGGTATTTACTATCTGCAAGTTTGGGTGTTCTTGTGCACCTCCCCTCACTTCATATCAGCTGGATGCTTCACTCTCAGCTCTAGCCCTCCATGACTATATCCTTGTCCATGGGCTCAGGTGTCCCTAGGTCTCACTACACTTTGGACCAACCAACCCTTCCTCTTCTCTCTCCCATCTCCAGGTCAACAGGAGTCCATGGAACATGGTCAAACTCAGCCCATTTCTTCATTGTTGCTTTTCCCCCTCTTCCACTCACCGGTAGACCAACAAGCTTCCCTGCCTGCTCATGTGTTCCCTTTGAGTTTCAGTCTTAGAGAGGGGGGTTGTCCTCAGGGAACTTGATTGCTTGCCTTGATGGCTTTCCAGCGAACAGCTTGCTTATTCTTGTAGTAGCCAGTCATACTGCCATTTTTGTTTTTTGGTTTTTTTTCTGATGATCTTCCTTTGAAGATGCATCTTCTGTCACTCTAACTGTTCCAGGCTGGTCTGCTTGTCCTTTGTGGATTGTGTCCTACATCCCAAGGGCTTAATGATGATGATGATCAGTAGTAGTAGAACTATTAGAACTACTATCATCTTTTCCGTATACCAGATACCATTTTAAGTTCTTCATGTGCATTATTTGGTTTACTCTTTATAATATCCTTGTGAGTTAGGTATTATTATTATTCCCATATTACAGATGAGGAAGTTGAGGCTTAAAGACAATAATGATTTTTCCAAGATCACTTGCTAAGAATTGGTTGATCCGGACTCAGGTAATCAGCCTCCAGAGCTAAGAAGCTTCACAAGAGATTAATGTACGAAGTGCTTAACTACAGTCAGTTTTCCAGTTCAGATTAGTTGACCTACTGGGTGAGTGAAGATCCCTGGTGGAGCAGTGGCTTAAGTACTCAGCTGTTGTTGTTGTTGTTAAGTGCCATCGAGTCGATACTGACTCATAGCGACCCTATGTACAACAGAACAAAACATGGCCCGGTCCTGGGCTAACCTCACATCTGTTGCCACATTTGAGCCCATTGATGCTGCCACTTTGCCAATCCATCTCCTCTTCCTCTTTTTCTCTGACCCTCCAACTTACCAACATGGTATCCCTCTCCAGTGACTGGTCCCTCCTGAGAATATGTCCGAAGTATAAGAGACGAAGTCTGGCCATCCTGGCCTCCAAGGAGTACTCTGACTGCACTTCTTCCAACACAGAGCTGTTGGTTCTTTTGACAGCCCATGGTACTTTCAATATTTTCCTCCAACACCATAACTCAAATGCATCAATTCTTCTACAGTCTTCCTTATTCACTGTTCAACTTTAGCATGCATATGAGGTGATTGAAATACCATGGCTTGAAATACTTAGTCCTCAAGTTGACATCTTTGCTTTTTAACACTTTAAAAAGGTCTTGTGCAGCAGATTTGCCTAATGCAATACATCGTTTGATTTCTCAGTAGCTGCTTCCATGACTGTTGGTTAATCCAAGAAAAATGAAGTCTTTGACAACTTCAATCTTTTCTCCATTGCTAAGAATGTTGTTTATTGGTCCAATGGTGAGAATTTTTGTTTTCCTTACATTAAGATGCAATCCATACCGAAGGCTATGATCTTTGATCTCCATCAGTAAGTATTTTAAGTCCTCTTCACTTTCAGCAAGCAAGGTTGTATCATCTGCATATTGCAGGTTGTTAATGAGTCTTCCTCCAAACCTGTGCCATGTTTTACTTCATATAACCCAGCTTCTCGGATTATTGCTCAGCATACAGGTTGAAAGAATACAACCCTGTCGCACAACTTTCCTAATTTTAAACCATTCAGTGTTCCCATGTTCTGTTTGAACAACTGCCTCTTGGTCCATGTACAGGTTCCTCATGAGCACAATTAAGTGTTCCAGAATACTCATACTTTGCAATGTTGTCATGATCCACACAATTGAAAGCCTTTGCATAGTCAATAAAGCACAGGTAAACATCTTTTTGGTATTCTCTGCTTTCAGTCAAGATCCATCTGACATCAACAATATATCCCTTGGTCTATGTCCTCTTCTGAATCTGGCTGCTAGCCAATAAGTTGGTAGTTGGAAGCCACTAGTCACTCTAAGGGAGAAAGCTATGGCAGTGTGCTTCCATGAAGAGAACACTTTAGAAACCTTACAGGACAGTTCTACTTTGTGCTATAGGATGGCTGTGAGTCCGAATCTACTACCCATTAGTGGAATATGCTAGCTAAATGAATTAGAACATGGACTCTGCAAAAGCACTGCCATATTAACTGAGACGGGCTAGTACTGGGGGTTGGGGGGAGACATAGGCAGGGGAACTTAATTTTGAGGTGAGGTAGGAAGAAAGTGAGCATAATTATGGTGAATGGGTCTAGAGAGTTGGGGAATCTAAAAAGGAAAGTGTCCAATGGCCATGGGGACAGCAGTTTGTTTCATGGTGCTCCTGGGACAGCCTGAAGAAGAACTGGGGGCTCAGCAGGAGGCCAGGAAGCAGACATCCCCAAAAGAGCCTCTGCTTTGAGGAGATTTGTCTGAGGTAACCAATGGACAGGAGGTGGAAGTACCACAGTGGCACAAAGGCAATTCATGGGACAGGAAATGTACCTCACAATCTGCAAAGCCCTTTAGAATACATTTTCTCATCTGATCTTCACAGCAGCCCTATGAGGAAAGGTAGGGCTGACACTGCTATTACTGTTTTATTATATTAACTATTTGCTATATTTTATACCTGGGAGAATCAAGGTCATGCCTCAGGGAGTCAAGCCTCAATCCCAGAGCTCTCTGTTTTGCATCACACAAGGTTGCTAGACAACCACAAATCCCAAAATTACCAACCCAAGTGAGGGTGAGGGTCTCTGTGAAACACCATGGAGTGGGTGGGGGAAATCAGCAATCAGCAGAAGTAGGTGCTGGTGTGTGTTGCTAACTTGTTTCAGAGCCTACTCATTGTTCTGCTAAAAACCCTTGGGTGGAGTGTATTTGTGGCTAGCCCTGCCTGGCCAGGTCTGTTTTACTGGGTTGTGTGAGATGAGGAGAGGGTGAGGGGAATGAAGTGTGGTCTCTCAGGATAGAAATCTGAATGCTCCCCAGCAGGGGGCAAGGACTCCTATATCCCAGCCCCCAAAGCATCCCTAGGATTATTATCTTGCTCATTAGCCAAGACAGGGAAACAAGACCCAGACTGGACTGAGTGGGGGAAAAAAGCAAAATATAAAAAGAAAACAATACCGAGTATAATTTTTAAGCCAGTTTTGAGGTAAGGAAAGAGGAAATCATTTGACAGAGATGACTAATATCTACCATTTCCCAGGAAGTCCTCACCCACTCCCTGCTGGGCACTGTGTGTGACCAGAAGGAGGGGCAGAAGCTAAACAGAGGAGGACCTGGCAGACAGCAGACAACAAAGTCCGGATTGCTACAAGAGCCAGCATGAACACAGCAATGACAAAGCAGTGACAGAACCCACAGAAATGTCAAATGGCACCTAATGGGGAAGGTACACCCGGCACCTTGGGTGGGGTGCATGGGCATGCAGACTCTCCCTTCCTGTCCAACACAGTAGGTGGTGTGGGCTGGGGTGGGTAGAAAAAGAGGCCTGGGCCTCTAGAGAGAGAAACTATGCATAGAAGGAAGGCAGGAGAGAGAGGACCTGGGGCAAAAAGATTAAACAAACAGAAAAACTAATCAAAAACTTGACAGGAGGAAAAGGAGACAGACAAGATAGGTGGAGGGAACTTGCAGAGCCATGCCACAGGTGAGGAATGAACAAGACCAAGAGCTACATCTGAAACCTACAGCATGATGCTTGCCTCTCCACTTTTCTGGATTTCCTAAATCTTCTATGAAGATGTATCCATTTGTAGTGACAACTTTTTAAAAAACACACAAAAGGGAAAATTAGTCCAGAATGATATATGACAAAATGTTAGCAGAGATTTCCCCTACAAAGTGAGAGCATTTTTCTTTGGTTTCTTTTCACTTTTCTATCCTTTTCCAATTATCTCCGATAAGCACAGGATGCTTTTGATGACAGAACCCACTGCCATCAAGTTAATTCTAATTCAAGTGACCCTATAGGACAGAGTAGAAATCCATAGGATTTCTGAGGCTGTAACTCATTACAGGAGCAGATAGAACCATCTTTCTCCAGCAGAGCACCTGGTGGGTTTGAACCATCTACCTTTCAGTTAGCAGCCCAAAGCCTAACCCATAAAAGAGTGGCTCCTTTTCTCTGTCCTTAAGATAATAAAAATAAACAAAAACCATAAAAGATGAGCATCTGAAGGGAGTCAAGGTGAACCTGAGTGAATGAAAGACCAAGGGGAGCTAGTAGGTGAGGAAGCAAGAGTGATGGAGAGGAGGGGGCCAGGGATGAACTGCTTCAACAAGAGCCACCAGCTATGAACTGCTTCAACAAGCCCTCACTTTTTTGTGTGTTCAATGACTACATGTTGAAAGGTGGCTGCCCAGACATTCTGGATGCTCCCACACTGTCAGTAGAGAAGTCCTGTAGGCAACTTCTGGCCGGTCACCAAGGCCATGCAATCACTCTTCTTCCAACCCATCCTGGCCAATGTCCCCAGACCTCCGACTAACCTCAGTATCACTCAAATAGCATGCAGAGAGAGACCTGATACTTAACTCCAGGGAACCTGATTTAGAGACAATTGTGTGATGGGCTTGGAGTCCCTGGAGGGTATAAACAGTTAATGCTCTTGGCCGCTAACTGAAAGGTTGAAGGTATAGCCCACTCACAGGTACCTTGGAAGAAAGTCCTGGTGGGTCTCCTTCAGAAAAACCAGTCATTGAAAACCCTCTGAAGCACACATAGCTCTACTGTGACACACATGTGGTTTCTATGAGGTGGGATCAACTTTATGGAAACAGTTTTGTTCGTTTGTTTGTTTGTGTTTATGGTAGGCTTATTTTATGGTTGGAACCTTTAAGGGAGGAGAGAGCAAGCAGACAGGAAGGGAGGAACCCACCACATGGCAGGCAGCCAGGCTAAGAAAACCAGCCAGTAGTAACAAGTAGCTTGCTGGCCCAGGAGAGTGAACACTGTGATAAAGATGTCTTTATTGTCTCCTCCCAAGTGCACAGTGGTTCTGACAGAGCTTCATCCGCTTCCAGGCAGACTGAGGAAGAGCAAAGTGGAGTGAAAATAGCATATTCAGGAATAGCAAAGAGCAGGAGGGCCTGGGGGTATTGAGGGTGCATTAAAAAGCCCTGGCTGCAGCAACAAAGATGTCCTTATAGCCCTTGATCAATTTGACCTCATTGCTGCTGATGAGGACTTGGAGCTGGCGGGGTCCAGCTTTGATGGGGTAGAGGTTCAGTTGAATTGTGATGGTGTGTCCGGCCACCAGAGTCCCAAGGCTGAAAGTCCAAAAGGGTCTGTTAGAGTCTTGAGGAGCAACCATTTGGATGGGCGATCTGACTTTCAGACCATTCCCCTCTGGACAGATACCTCCCACCTCCAAGACCACCAAACTCAACCTTCCCTGAGGAGAGTAGGGATGTGGGGGAAGGAAACATCATCTAGGAGACTGGTGATGATCCTGTGATCTGGAAGTGCCTCCTTCTCCCACATCAGAGGCCAGAGTGAGAGAAGTGGACAGTGTTACTTACTCTTTTGATATCTGCCCATTGATGAGGCCACTTCCTTCTACCACCATTGTGCAGTTACTCAGAGGCTCCATTTGAGTATTGGTGAGCATGATGTGGACTCTCAATGGCTTGTCCACCTCAGCACTTTTAGACACCTGTGTGGACAGAACATGAAGGCTTCTTGGGCAACTGGCCTCATGATACAGCTACTTAGGGCTAAGATATTGTAGTTGGGAGAGATGAATATAAACCAGGAGTATTCGGGCTTAACACATTCAAGCCTGTCTTGGAAGGTCACAATACTCCAAGAAGTCACCACCAAGTGGGAATTGAACCTATTTCCCTACCCTTAATCTAGCTCAGAATGGCAACTAGATTTCAACTTAAGTGCCAGCTCCCATTGGTTAGTAGTGGCTAATAGGAATGCTAAGTTAAAAAGGATCTCCAAGACAAGTCCAGAGTCAGATAGATTCATGATGATTAGTAATGTCACAGGCATGGTATAAGAAGGTAGTGTCGTGTGTAACACCTATATATCAATGTCATTCTACCCTTTATTCTGCAGATGAAGAAAATTGAGGCCAAGGTCACATCACATGATATGTTCATAGCAGAGCCAAAGCCTGAGCCAGGTATTATAGACCCGAGCCCAGGGTCTTTCCCCGACACTGCTATCTTCAGATACATCTGCAGAATATACTCTGCATTTTTTTCCAGGTGCTTCTAGTGTATCATATGTGAGGACCATGTTATGGGGCAGCTCTTCTAGTCCCCTTGGGGGTCCTGTTAGTGGGAGGCAAAAATTCTGCTGTACTTATTTATGGACCCCCAGTATCTAACACAGTGCCGACCAACTGCTGGATATTCAGTAAACCTGTATTGAACTGAACTGAACTCCAATCACCCAGTTAATGCTGGAGGTATGCCCTGTCTCAGCCAGAAAATCAAGAAGGAAGAACACATCCTGATGTCTCAGGGATTCAAATGAAAGAACCAGGTCCTTTGCACCCTAATGAGAATGTCACAGTTGTTGTTGTTGTTAAGTGCCATCGAGTCGGGTCCGACCCATAGCGACCCTGTACAGGGTTTCCGAGGGTGTAAATCTTTATGGGAGTAGAAA